ACGATCTGTTTGACTCAATACATCAGCACTCAAACCGTTTATAATTAGGAGTAAAAATAGCACATCGCTGCTAAAGGGTTTAACGACTTTGTTTAGCGAAATCAAATCCATCAGATCAGGTGACTGAAACGTAAAATATTCTGCGTGTAATTAATTGTATACAACATCTGCAGAAACAAAGTATGACATTGTTAGGGTTAGGGTCGTAAAAAAAAATTATATACGACCCCTCCGACTTGCTAATGATTTACTCGGTAGGTGGCGGTACCGGAACATGGCGAATCAAAAATCGTAACTCAAAAGTTTTTCGTTGATCCCACCCGGAGCAGACGACAGCTCGCAGACGTTTGAGCACGCGCCCCCTTGCAAGTTGTGACGGCCATTTTTACTTTCCGTGACGGTCGACTTTGTTTGCAGACAACGGTCACGTGGTGCCTAGGGGAAGTCCAAGGTGGGGGGAGGGGGTAAGGTGGGTGGGGGCATAATAGTTGAAACAAACGATATTTTAAAAAAAAAAAGATTTTTTTGTGGTGAAACAAAACATAAAAGCCGTAATTTCTCGCGTAGGTGAGATTTGGCGGACCAGCTGTCCCGAGGTCACATGACCATTATCTTATCTGTGTGCGCGCGTGCTGATCCGCCACCAGATGCCGCTGTTTGCCTAGTCGTGAGACAGGCTTAGCCTAAGGTACGGTCTTGCCTTTTTGTCCCCCCCCCCTCTCGCGTCATGCCTAAAATAAAAAAAAATATTTCAAAGTCGGATGCGTTGTATTATATCGTCTGATCTGCCTCAACGCCAAACCGGAAGGGGATGGGAGTGTGACGTAAATTGAACGTCTGCTGTTGTATTAATTCCCATAATCCCTACCAAACTAGATCGGAAGTATCGTATTGATTTGTCTGATCGTCTAACCACTGTGGTCTGCGTTCTTCTCATTGGAATGAACAACAAGAATAGGAGACTGTATAAGATATGATGTGTGTTATACACAAGATGTAATGCTGTATACACGGTGTGATGTTATAAAACAAAATGTTGTGCAAGGTATAACACATTTTGTTATACGCAAATAAATGGTGTGTTGAGTCCAAAACAAAATGTGTAAAAAAAAATAATATTTCATGTTATTATCACGTGAACAGGTGTATCGATAAAAGGCAGGTTGTACTTTGTGGAGTTTTTTAGACTTTTTTTATTTTGAGGATTTTCTAGTTTTTAGCGTAGTGGTTTGTCGTTTTACTTTTGGGGATTTTAGATATTTTGTGTTGGGATTTCTCGTATATTTTTGTGAGAGTTTTCATGTATTTTTTCATATTTATTTTTGTTACAACAGAAACTTCAAAGGATTTTACACATGTTTGCTGTCTTAAAAGGACGGCGTTGTCGAGCGGTAGAGCGCTAGACTGCTAATCTGAAAGTCTTGAGTTCGGATCCCGCGTTCGAGTCTTTAAGGCGTCCCTGAGTACACCCTGCTCTGATGGTTACCTGAATCACGTTAGGGAAGTAAATCTGGTTAGGCATAATACTTACCACATTATTCACTTGTATGCCGTGGTCATTGAAACAGATGAACTCTACTTGTCCTGCCCCATTTGACTTAGGCACAAACATGAAAGAAAATGCTGTCTAATTGTACCTTAGTACCCCACTCCCCCAAGCTGGCGCTATGTAAGATGTGTGTGGTAATTCTCCATAGTTTGTGTTGTCTTGGTGAACCATAGTGTGTGTTGTCTTGGTGAACCATAGTTTGTGTTTTCTTGGTGAACCATAGTTTGTGTTTTCTTGGTGAACCATAGTTTGTGTTGTCTTGGTGAACCACAGTTTGTGTTGTCTTGGTGAACCACAGTTTGTGTTGTTTTGGTGAACCATAGTTTGTGTTGTCTTGGTGAACCATAGTTTGTGTTGTCTTGGTGAACCATAGTTTGTGTTATCTTGGTGAACCATAGTTTGTGTTGTCTTGGTGAACCATAGTTTGTGTTGTCTTGGTGAACCATAGTTTGTGTTTTCTTGGTGAACCATAGTTTGTGTTTTCTTGGTGAACCATAGTTTGTGTTGTCTTGGTGAACCACAGTTTGTGTTGTCTTGGTGAACCACAGTTTGTGTTGTTTTGGTGAACCATAGTTTGTGTTGTCTTGGTGAACCATAGTTTGTGTTGTCTTGGTGAACCATAGTTTTTTTTTTTTTTTGTGAACCATAGTTTGTGTTGTCTTGGTGAACCATAGTTTGTGTTGTCTTGGTGAACCATAGTTTGTGTTATCTTGGTGAACCATAGTTTGTGTTGTCTTGGTGAACCATAGTTTGTGTTGTCTTGGTGAACCATAGTTTGTGTTGTCTTGGTGAACCATAGTTTGTGTTGTCTTGGTGAACCATAGTTTTTTTTTTTTTTTTTTGTGAACCATAGTTTGTGTTGTCTTGGTGAACCATAGTTTGTGTTGTCTTGGTGAACCATAGTTTTTTTTTTTTTTTTTTGTGAACCATAGTTTGTGTTGTCTTGGTGAACCATAGTTTGTGTTGACTGTCTTCGTGCCCCATTGATTTTGTTGTCTGTCTTACGACCCATAGCTTGTTTTGCTGTATTTAACACCCCCCCCCTTCGAAAAGTTGTCTTCAGATACCCCTCCCCCTCCTCTTTATACCCTTGTGAATAGGTAAGTTACCTATTCATCTAACAGCAGTGGTAGTAGAGGGTTTCATTAAACTCCGAAGTTTAAGCTCCATGTGGTCACAAAAACTACGAATATTTTAAATCGTTTTTAAATTAGCATGCTAAAAAATTAAAAAACAAAAAAAACAAAATACAAAAAAAGAACCACTATTTTAAATTTAGAATCACGCTATTTTTATTAATAATAATCGGATTTCAAATAGATAATGCAATCAAACAAATCATAAATTTTTTCACACCCATTAATTAATTCACAAGCGGAAACAAGAAAAGTTCAATGAAAAACAAAGGGCAGTAACTAATTAGTAAAGGGATATAACTCGAAGTTCATTTGTTTTCAAATGTACACATTCTTTCTTTATATTAATCAGCAAACAGGTAAGACCCAGACACACACACACCAGTGTAATTAAGAGCGAATAAATTGAAGGGGTTTTTACACGGAAAAAATAAATAAAAAATGAACACAATTCTGGTTGCTCATAATGGATTGGGAACTAAAGTTGAATAACACAGAGGAGGATTCTTGGTGTAAGTCATCAGACTTAAGTCATCTAGGGGCAAGTCATCAGAATTAAGTCATATAGGGGGTGTCATCAGAATTAAGTCATCTAAGGGTAAGTCATCTGACTTAAGTCATCTAGGGGTAAGACATCAGACCCAGTCGGATATTTCTCACAATGATAAACATTGGAGAATTATATTATCGAACTGGGACCTGAATTCGTAGATAAGTCATTGTGTAAACCACGCGTTAGATTGAAATTGTTTTTGAATTCTCGTTTGAGTTCTATTTTAATTTTAAATCATTTGCTAGCCAGAAAAAAAAAAAACTCAATAACTTAAGGTATTAGTGTTGAGGATTTTTAAAAAAATTAATTATGAGTCCAATAATCGACTAGAAATATTGTAGAAACATATTACCAAATTCTAATATTATTTATGGATTAAATGACATACAATGTGTTAAAAAAATAATTTCTTATATGTAAGCTCAAAACAGACATCGAGTTTTTATTATTGTTTTAAATAACTTCTTGAAAAAAAAAATTATTTCCAACGATAAACCAAAACCGGACGAATACTAAGCAATGTTTTTAAAAACGTTGTTTTTTACTGCTGGGGTATAGACTACACACAACCTTTGACACCATCCCTGTTTTAATATTACATGTACACCAGAAAAAAAATTCGCTCAATAACATGTATAAACATTTGTCTTTTTATCCTTATACTTATACTGAAAATCTAATGTTTTGTGAACTTTTGACCCCTTAATAGGTATCTCCATTTTCAACTCTCCGAGAGAAATTTAAATGTATGCTATTATAGAAGTATACACAATATGACAACAAATTCAGCAGTATAGGTTAATAGGTCAACGTTCTATTTATAGGTAAAAAAAAATCACATAACGACAAAACTAATCACAGTAGCCTCCCCTTGTGGAGCAAATACATTTACAAATACATCATTTTTCTTTTACAAAATCATGTAAAAATTGTATACATTGGTCATTTTTTTTAAACTATTGGTCCAGTGTTCATAGTAAATCAACATTGATTACATAAAAATGTTAATCAGCTTTAATTACAACAAGTGGTCCGTGTGAAACATGGTTTCCCAGGAGAATAAAATTAACAAAATATAAATATGTAAATGCAAGGGTTCAAGAATATTAAAAAAAAAATTTGACATGTTAGCAGTTAACACCCATTGACAAATTACCACAAAGGTTAGTAGAATAATGTATTGAACAATCAGGGAAAAATCAATCGGATCACTATTGATTGGTATCGATTTTTTTTTATTTCAACATTTAAATCGTTTCACCTAAATATAGGTTTAATAACTTCGATTTATATGTAAAAAAATTTTTTAAATATTGACTTGTAGTTGATTTATTTGCATGGATGATTTGTACAAAAGATTATGCTGAGTCTTAACATACAAACCATAACCAACTACCTGCGTAGATCCACACAGGTTTTATAACTGCTAGATTTTTATGCCAATATAACGCTGGGAAGAAGCAGAAAAAAAATATCTGCAGACAATGGAATGAAAGTTTGAGTAAAGAATGTGAAGAAAATGTCTTTAGGACAACGTGTCTGCTTGTTCCAAAAGGAACGGGGTCAAGGGCGAACTAAACTAATTTACTAAAGTAGGTTACAACCTGTGAAGGAGAAGAACAAGAAAAAATATTAACATGGGGAGAAAGGTTGCATTTGACTTTAATAAGTTGTCTTTCTCTCGATCTTTCTCTCAATCTTTCTCTCATCTTTCCCTTCCATACTCTCTCTTTCTCTCGCTATCTCTTTCTCCCCCTCTCTTTCTCCCTCTCTCAGTATCCTTCTTCGTATTCTCATTTCAGATAAATATAAAATGAGATTTCAATTTGCCTTAGTAAATGTTGTACTTTTCATAGCTGCGTGGAATTCTCGACAAGTAAGACACGCATTACTTTTGACCTTCGCCTACTTAGGTGAAGTAATTTCATTGACCTTTGTGCCTCCTTAGGTGAAGCTAATTAGCTTTTCTAAATATTATTTTCAAAAATTTCCTCAAGCAGCCAAAAAACTGCTGTTATAGACTAAGAAATGCCGAAGCATTTGTCCAAGTACAAAAATTTAAATCCACCAAAGACTATTGACAACATTTACAGTATTATATAACCAGTAAGGTTTGTCAAATTAGAGTTATCTTTCCTTAGTTATTATCCATTCCATTTTAAAAATAGTTTATACAAAATGTATGTAATTCACAAGTATTTAGTAAATGAAACATGATAAAATAACCCAACCACATACCCTTAGGTAAACATATTTAAAACAATTAAATGTAAAAAAAAAAGTTTAATTACAAATATAGACTAGTTATAGAGTTTATTTTATGTACAATAATGTCCTACATGAACTATAAACAATTTAAATAAAAAATATGTACAAATTAATCAACTAACTACTTAATTAAACCATTCAGGAAAATGGAGTGTGTAGGAATGGGTGTTGGTTAATTAGGTCCGTTAATTTAACTGTTCATTATGAACTTCAGAAGATGGGCTGTATTCTATCAAATGGTAGTCTATTATTAGCGCCTTCTTAAAGTCACCTGGTTTAGTCAACTAAGATGTACATCTGCTAACATATATCGTTCAAGGGCTTATTTCCGCCTCGTCCGAAGAAGAAGCGCCATCTTTAATGGTCCCGTCTTCGTCATCAGCATCAAGGTCATCGACCTTGCCATTGTCACTAATGAAATTACTGATCTCGGAAAAATACGAATCGTCTTTTTCTTCCAGCTCCGTGGTCGGGGAGTCCGGAAGGTGGGGTCCTTCCTGCTCGTGTTTCTTCAAATGCCTGTCCAAGTTCGTCTGCTGGCCGAAGCAGCGGTCGCAGAGCTGGCATTTGAAAGGTTTTTCCTTGTTGTGGATGTTCCGGACGTGACGTTGCAGGTTGGAGGAGATGCTGAAGGAACGCTCGCAGTACTTGCATTTGTAGGGCTGCTCGCCCGTGTGCGTGCGCAGGTGTCGGGTTAAGTTCGCCGACCGGGGAAAGACTTTCCCGCAGAATTTGCAAGCGTATCTTTCTTTAGATTTCCCCGGCGCGCCTGGGCCGAAATGGTGGTTGTGGTGGTGGTGGGAGTGGGGTGAGTAGTCTTGGGACTTTTCCAGCTTCATCATGGGGGACAAGACTTTATCTATATCCGGTCGGGGCATGAGGTTGTATGAGGGGTGGGAGTGAAGCCCCGGGAATGCTGTGGGGCCGGGCATGGGGAATCGGGCGTAAGGGCTGGTGAACTTTGAAGCCACTTCCTGTTGGAGTTTCATGTCCTCTTTGAGCCTGAGGAAAGACTCCATCATGAGCGTGTTGAATTGGTAGCTGTACAAACTGGGGACGGTGGGTTTGTGGTCGGATAAAGACACCGACGGGATGGATAAGGGCACGGACGAGGGCAGAGAAGGCGTGGTGGAGTTGGCCGGTGAGGGGGATGAGAGGGTGGAGGGGACAGGGGACAAGGCCAGATCCCCGTAGATGTGGGTTTTACGCGGCGCCTCTGACGGCAAGATGGGGATGGGTTTTATTGGTTTCTTGCTTAGATCTAGAGGTGCGTCTTCTTTCTCAGCCTTTTCCGTGGTGCCTTCTTGGGGTTTAAGAACTGGTGCCGGGGAGGATGTGTTAGGTTCTGTTTTTGTAGAACTCAAATCAAAAGGCGTTTCTTGTTTCACAGGGGTGGAGGTAGCTTGCACCTTGATGGAGATGTTCGGAGACTGGGGTCTGAACTGGGTGAAGCCAGGGGGCGCTATGCACGTTTCTTTATGCGGTTTCTTCTCCTCTTGTGGCGAGATAGTCTCGCGTTTTACCGTCTTCTCCACGGGGCTGGGGCATTCCTGGTGAGAACCTTCGTCGCCCGGGTCACTTTTTCTTTTGCGCGAGTTCGTCTGCTCCACCTCTTCATCCGAAAGGTTACTAATGTCAAGGTCACTGCAATCGCTGTCTTCGGAATCGTTATGGGTGGACGATCTGTCGTCTGAGCGTTGCATTTGAGCTTTTTCAAACGTTGAGGAGAAACCCGCGAGTTTCGGCTCCAGGCTCACGTAGTCCGGGGAAAGATGGAGCTTCTTGTCCGGGGACATGTGTTGCATGTTTGCTGCCGCGAACTTCAACGCCGCGGAGGATGGGTTTCCCAGCATGGTAGGAAGGGATTGTGGTAAGAGCGTGGGGAAGGGGCCGAAAGAAGGGTAGGGGGCAAACGGAAACTGGGGTCTGGCCGCGGCGGCAGCGGCGTAGAGGCTGGGGAACAGGGAGGGGTTCAGGTGGGGCGGCTGGTTGTTGGGGGACATGGTGGGGAGCTTCTCCTGGGGGTAGATGGAGCGCATGCCGTTGCGCATGACGCCCTCGCAGAAGCGCTTGTGTTTGCTGAGTGAGGTGACGGTGGAGAAGGCCTGGCCACAGTCCTTGCACTTGATCTGCTGTCTGCAGTCGGCGTGCATGCGCTTGTGTCGGCAGAGGTTGGAGAACTGGGTGTAGGCCTTCAAGCACACCTAGAACAAGAGAACAAACGCCGTTGGTGTGATGTGAAATAAGAACAGGTCTACATTACAAGTCGCCTACATTACAAGTCATAGAAAATATTTTAAGAAATGTTTTATTTCACTAAGATAGGTTATGTATATTTGAATGTGTTGTGGTGAAAAAGCGCACGAAGTATTGAATGTTTAATTATGTGAAACGGATTTAAGTACTGTTTGATTAACCGTACCCAAAAAAAATGTATAGCTTGAATCGCCGGTAATATGTTCCGTAGAATTTTATAGTTAGATTTCGGTTTTAATTTAGAAAAGGGGAGGTCTTGGTCAAAGTTTAAGACTTTAATTAGATGGGTTTAGGTTATGGGGCAGAAGGATCGTTCCCGGCAATACAAACTATATGAATACGTGGGTACGGTTATCGGATTCCCTTCCCCCCCCCCCCCCCCCAAAGCATAGTCGTAGAGTTACCTCGCACTGGAAAGGCTTAATGCTGCTGTGGATGTGTTGGTGCTGCTTGAGACCGCTCGAAGTCGCGAACGTTTTGCCGCACTCTGAGCATGCGTGACTCCGTGCGCCCACGTGTTGTGACCGGATGTGACGTTGCAAGTTGCTGGGGTCGGTGAAAACTTTGTCGCAGTTTTCGCAGGGAAACTTCCGGTCGGCATCATGGGTCAACTGAACGATTAAAAAAGTAAACATTTGTTTTCTGAAGGAATAATTCTCAAATAAATTCATTTCTCTTAACTTACAAAATTCTAATAAAAAAGAGAAGGAACAAAAAAACAACGGAATTAAGCTGAATGATTAACATACCTGGTGCCTTTGAAGATTCGCCTTCCACTGAAATGATTTAGGGCACTCGTCACATTTAAATTCTCCGCCGTTTCCTGTTTCAACCGGTTCTTGATAAGAATCCGAGTTATCACTGAAGAAAGAACAAAAATTAATCTTATAGTAAAGTGAAGCTTTACTGTCTAGAACTCTAGTCAAGTGATGGTACATTATTGAAGTATAATTATTTGCACAAAGCTGTAGTTTCAAATTAAAGATTAGTAGGATTGTGAAACGCCATTAACATTACAAAATATAGTAAGAAAAAAAAAGAAAAAAAAAGAAAAAAGTAAAACAGCGGTGGTTAATGACCAAAAAGAATTATAAATTCATAATTTGATCAAATCGCAAATGACGACACACTACTTCAAAATATGAAGAACGTATTAAAATAAACCTGTCGTATTTAATGTTTTTACTCTATTTTTATCATAGGCCAGGCGTTGCACCCTTTAACCTACAAGGGGGAGGAGACTAGAAAAAAAATACAGTTATTTCCCTTTCGACATAAAAATAGATTCGAAGGTTCGACGTCTGTGATTCGGGCAAGTGCTAGTACAGGGGAGAGAATCAATGGCCGCCATTCTTCCTTTTGTCTCTCGCCCGGCTGGTGGGGTGAAAACCGACCACCGCTGACAATGGAGAAGATTTTTGTGTGAAGCCATTTTTGAGGGTTGAACCGAGTTGAACCCGCGGGCCCCAGTTGAATGTGACGACATTTATTGAGTGTGTGATCAAATGCTAAATTAGTTGACATGTGTGGGGGGCTGGTGAGAGGGTGCGGTGGGGGCGGTCTGGTCTAGAGGGGGGTGGGGGTAACGTGGAGAAAGACGATCGTGTTGGACTGGGTGTGCGTAAATCTTTTTGTATGCTTTTTTAATGATATTAGTTTCCAAAAAAAAATATAATTTATTTAATGAACAAAAAAATCTGATCATTAGTTCAAAGATTTACTTGAAAATTTATGGCTCTTTTTTCTTACTTGCATTATTCATGCTTTTACAAAAATATAAAGGCTCTAAAATTTATTTTGCATATTTTAACAATCTTACTAAGTAAAACATCTTTAGAAATATTTTTTTATTAATAAATAGAGAGAATTTTTTTTTAAATGTGAGTTTTAAAATTCAATTACCTTCTGTTGTCATCGCTGTCGTTGCTGATGTTGTTGGCGTTGCTGCTGTCGTGAGCAGCCCTGCTGTTGCTGCTCAGGTCACTCCCGCTGGACAGCACGTTGCCGAGGCTGTTGGAGGCGACCAGGCTGTGCTGGGCGAGCCCCATCTGCTCCTTCAGGCTGCTGTAGGGCGTTAGGGCGCTGGTGCAGGTGTAGGTCTGATGGCGTCGGACGGCGACTTTGGAGCGGAACACCTCCCCGCAGTGTGGACACGAGTATGTCTGCTCACCTGTTTGAAGAAAAAAACAAGACCTTAGTTATTAAGACCAAAACCTACTAAATGTGTTTAAAACTATAAGTAAAACATGCCTTATAGGTAATTAAAAGTAAATTTACAGGAACTAATCTTTTAAAAGTTAATGTTACAAGAATGATCCCGCGAAAACATTGTACGACAGCATATCATGTTTTTTAAATATGCCATAAAGCTTCAACATCAGAACTTGAACTAAAGTGTACTAAGCTACGCAAACAAGATTTGCACTGTGTGATAATTTAATTTGTAACAAATTACATGCTCTCCCTCCCCCCCCCCCCTCCACCCCCGGCATATGAGTTATTTTAAGCATACACTTCCGGCTTCATATATTTGGATGACCTGAATTTTTCAACTCTCTACCCAGCAATTTTGACTCTTAGAGTTCAAATACAACCAACAATCCTGTGATGAGGAATATTGACAACCACAGACAAAAACAATATTAATCAAGTCAACCCGTGTGTACACAGACGGGTTGTAACAACCCTTCTCTGTTTAAACAAGACATTGTGTCTGCCTCGCGTCTGGCAATCAGACAATTTTATAAATACATTGTTATCTTTGTAGTCTGGGGCCGTTAATTTATTTCTTTTTCCCCCTCCCGGGTTACCGTTGAGCGAAGATATGTCCCAACAACGGTTGTCGTTTTACCCGGAGAATGATCGTTGTTTACTGCCAGAAGGTTAATTTTATTTGAAATTTCTGTTGAATGGAATTCCAGTCAACAACGGTATAGTGAATAAATCGTTCCGATGACGGATGGGAAAGGAGATACTATTTACAGAGTGGAGCGGCGTTACTAGGTAGGGCGCGACGCCCCACCACACCCCCTTGTAACGCCAAATTGTCTAAGAGAGATATATTTCTTGGTTAAATCGTAGAACATGAATTATACATCGGTAGCACTTTACCCCAATGGATGATTTTAGTATTTGAAAACAAGCACATTTATCATAGCATTTTAATGATATATTTAGTCACATTTGTACTTGAAATAGGTGAATTGAGTTAAATTTGGTAAAAGTGGAGGGTGCGGGGTGGGTTATTGTTGAAGATTTTGTAAAAACAGTTTGAGACCATCTGAAAAGGGGATCCACCGCCTCCCCCCCTCTGACCACGCAAACGCCGCGTCACTTCCTTTGGATCACCCCCCACCCCCGCCCCCTGTACTTGTGATCTGACGAACCATGCGACCTTTACCTTGATGGTCCCCCGGTTGTCTTCGAGTGCTGGGTAAACTCATATCCCACAAAGCCCCGTGTTGACATAGAGAAAGTAGAGAGATAAAGGGTGGGCTCGATTGGCGTCAGCGCCCCCCGCCCCAGCCCTTCAAGACAACATGGACGACAAATGCAGACTTGGGGCTTCTCCCTTCTAATATTTCATTATTAGCTGATAAGAGAGATAGCGATAGAGGGTTTGATTTCCCCCCCCCCCCCCGGCGCGTAGGTAAAAATACCGAAACACACGCACAAGCACACGCATACACATACATAACCACACACGTATATATGCATACATACATATACATACACCCAGCAGCACCCATACTCTCTATATACTAGGGAGGGATTTAAAATCACCGTTTCCCATAGTCTTTGTTTGGTTTATTAATTTATTGTAAATGTCCCCTCAATGACTTAGCATTTTTTACTTTAATAAAAAAATTGAGTAGCACTTAGGATTAGAGGGGATTAAGGGGAGGGAAAGGGAAAAATCGGTGGGATAATTAACAAAATTCTTGTATAGAAATCAGATTATGTACATAAAAACGAATGCATAAAGGCCCGTAACACCTAGGTCTATTTTGAGAACCCTTGCCCCGAATTGACACTAGCTGTCCCGTTTTTTACACGGCGCACATGTGCGGAGCGGACTTAATCTTGAAGATCATAAAGGAGAGCTTCAGGTGTTTGAGCTTTTACGTCTGCCAGATCTTCCACCCCGACCCCCCCCCCCCCCCCCCCCACTGCATAAACGCATCCCTGTCCGGGCGTTGAAACACGGCGTTTCCTGCTCCCCTTTTGTCCTCTGTAGGACTTTAATTGTCCTCCAAGACACGCCGCCATTTTTTTCTCTCTCTCTGGCAGGGTCTACCGGTGATTTATTGCCGGCACTCATCTGTGACCTCGCTACGTCACGAAAAGCGGGAAGTGACCTTGCTACGTCACCGACAAACACAAAAAAAAAACGCGGGAAGAGTTGTCCCGCACTACGCCACTCCAAAATTGTCACGACTTCCTCTCCAGTTGGGGTTTAAATGTTCAACTTTTCGATCTTGTCTAAGGCAGATAACAGAATCCCATAAAACATGGGATTACTAAGATCCCAGACAGTAGATCAATGTATGGGTATGATCCGACAGTTAAAATACGCCGTAAACCTGCGCCCGTATTGAAAGCGCACGTTAAGTTCAACGTGTGTCTTTGGGATTTCCCAATGATTTTACAGTCAGATTAAAATAGGATGCGTCCTTATTACATTTGACACTATCAGGCCGAAATAAATCGATTTTCAGCACAACCTTACGGAAAGTTTATTGACACGTTGACTTTAAAAAAAAAAAACATACCATTTTATACAGGCCAAAGTCAGTTTTCTAAAAATAAACACACATTCATGTTCTAGTTTTATATATAAAAATATAGATTTTTATTTAGCGAATTAAGAATAAACGTCTACACTTCCCCTAATGTCTTTGTATTCGCTCGCTTATGTACAGAAAACTAGCTTTGACTGCAGTTCCCATTGCGAAACATATTCAACCATTTCAATTGGGGGCATCACCAACATAATTTATTTTATTAATACCACTGCAATTTAATTACAAATTAACAACACAATAGTATACATTCTGTTGATGAAAGAGTTTAAAACAATACTTTTAAATATAAATAAATTACCGATTCGTCAAAAAGACAAGTTTAAAAATGTGTAAGATAAAATTTTAAATTTAAATATTTTTTTAGTACATTCCAGAAACGTCTTTGGTGTCTATAAGACAAGTGGCTGGATTTGTTCGTAAGATCTCTACCCAGGACATTAATATTATTTGTTCTCAGATATCATCGCGCTCTTGGCATTTCGGTTTTTTAAAAAAGCAAAACACGTCGTTCTTTTGTTCCGTTTGTTGGTTTTTGTGAAGTGGAACAAAACAAAACAAAAATGGTATTTTCTCAAGACGGCAGATGTTTCGGTATCATGGCTACGTCGGCGAGCAAATAGGTTTCGCTGGGTTGGTGAGATGAGATCTGACATCTAGCCGGGGTTGTTGGAGGGTTGGGGTGTTGGTTGTACGATGCGTGATGGATGAAGCATCAGCATTGCTTGCTGAGTGCCCGCGGTGCGGTGCTATCTCCGTCACTTCAAGGACAGCTAGTGTGGGCGACCTTCTCGCGGACTTTCAAGTGGTGGATTTTTTATTTTATTTCGGAGTTTTTTTTTTTCATTTTCTCGAAGAGATGTTGGGTTTTTTGGTGTTGGTAAAATGGGAGGAGGCATGTGATATTGTGACAGATTAGCAGTTGTAGTGATAACAATGACTTGGGAATACAAATTAAACAAACAAACGATGATGGCTGTTTTTTTTTTGTGTGAAGTGAAGTTTAGCATTGTTTAGTTAGGGTTTTAAGTGTTCGAGCCAGTTGTTAAGGATATGTGAATGTGGTTATAAGTGTGTGTGCTCAGGATATGTATATGTGGTTTTGTATATGTGGTTATGATATATGTGTCGTAATGTGAGGGCGTTAATTATGTGAGTGGATGTGTTCAGGATACTGTTTGCAGCTTTGCGGAGTGTTCAGGATTTGTATGTATGTATGTATGTATATGTGTGTGTGTGTGTTTTTGGTCTTTATTTTTCAAGTGTGAATGCTGATATAGAGCACAACACAATCCAATCCTTAAAAAAATATTTTCATGGTTTCCAAAGACTCAAAATCTTCCTTGTTATATTTTGTTAGCCCAAAAACTACTAACTCCAAATTCAAGTATGCTGTTTGATTACAGTCTAGAACTAGTCTGATCATTTCAAGTTCTAGAACCCCCTCCCCACCGCTCCCTTTTATCCCCTTAACAGAACAGACTTTAGTTCTAGCACTCGAGTTTGTCACGTAAGCTTTCCTTGAGGGGTATCACAAAGACAGTTATATTGTTCGCAAACAGTTGGAAGAAAAATACTCATCCGTCATTTTAAGTTGGGTATGTAATACTGTATTGGCTTGTGTAAGCTACGCGTATTTGAACTTGGTGCTATTATTCTGTATGTAAGTTTATGTATAGCGTAGTATTGCCCTATTATGTAGTATATATATATATATATATATATATATATATATATATATATATATATATATATATATATATATATATATATATATATATATATATATATATATATATATATATATATATATATATATATATATATATATATATATATATATATATATATATATATATATATATATATATATATATATATATATATATATATATATAGTGTAGTCTTGCCCTAATACGAAGTATATATATAGTATGGTTTTGAGCAATTTGGAAAATAGTGGTATTGTCCTAATTGCAAGTATATGAAAGTGTGGGATTGTCCTATTTCGAAGTATATTGTGGGATTGTCTGATTTGGAATGATATGTAAAGTGCGGGTCCAACTTGAATGTGTATGTATAGCTTTTTACTTTGAACGCTTGACATGTTTTGGTTGTACGGTGTTGTCTATGTTAAGCCTTCCAAGCATCTCACTTGCTATGGGTGGACTCGATATGAAGCCTTTTCAAACGGTTTCGTCCGTAATGACATTTTAGTTTGTCATTCAAATTTGACATTTTGCCGCCCGTGTACACATACAAAAAAAAAACCTCCCACAGAAAACGAGATAGTGACAGATAAATACCAAACTACAAATCCTTTTCCTTGTACTGACACGAGTTTACGATGCAGTGACAAGCATTTAGT